AACTCAAAAAAAAAAAATAAAAAGAACATTTGTGCACAGGCCTTTGTACGCACAAGCTTTTCATTCTCTCGGGTAGATAACACAGCCAAGCTGTTTCCCAAGTGGCTGCCTCAACGTGCACTTTCCGCCGCAACACAGGACGCCTGCGGCCCACCTTCCCACCTTCTCTTCAGAACCGTGACCACCTGCCCCCGCGGTCTGACGTGAGCCAACGCGTGCCAGAGACGCGCCCCACCAGGTGACCCTCACGCGTCACCCACCCCATCTCCCAGGCAGGTTTCCCAGGCTTCTTTTGAATCTCCTTACCGGATGTGCTCAAACATGTATATATACATGGGGTTTTTTTGAGTTGAGGTCTCACTCTGTCACTCAGGCTGGAGTCCTCTGGCCTCAGCCTCCCGAGTAGCTGGGACTACAGGCATGCGCCACCATGTCCGGCTATTTCTTCTTAGTTTTTGTAGAGACAGGGTCTCACTCTGTTGTCCAGGTTGGTTGGGAACTCTTGGGCTCAAGCAATCCTCCCACCTCGGCCTCTCAACGTGCGGTGGTGGCAGGTGTGTGCCGCTGGGCCTGGCCCACAGCTTCTGCTTTCGCAGCATTTTTCGCACATTTCTCTTCTCTGGGCTCCTGTTCCCTCCACGTGGCACCACAGCCTCTCACAGCACTTAGTTTTCTACATGTCCATCTGCCTCAACTAGTCAAGCCTTTCAGAGGGGGGCATTTCCGTCCCCTAAGAGATGAGCACAAAACACAGCAGAAAGCAGGCCTTCACAATACCTTGAGTAAACAGCTGGCGATTCAATGTACACGTTTGGCTCAAGCATCTGCTAATTTCCAAGTCAGTCTACTTTCCCTCAAATGAGCCATATTTTTCCCATAAGACTTGATCAGTGAAAATACGACCCAGAACCTTAGACCTGTTTTTTAAATTTGCTGTTGCCATTGTTGTCAATATATATTTTTTTTCTGGAGTCGGAGTCTCACTCTGTCGCCCAGGTTGGAGTGCAGTGGCACACTCATGGCCACCCCAGTGTGAATCTGCTGGGTTCCTGCGATCCTTCCACCTGAGCCTTCCAAGTAGCTGGCACTACAGGTGAGCCCCACCATGCCTGGCTAATTTTTTGGTTTATTGTAGAGACGAGGTCTCACCAAGTTGCCCAGGTTGGTCTCGAACCCCTAGGCTCAGGTAATCTTGCCTTGGCCTCCCAAAGTGCTGGGATGACAGGCTGAGCCACTGAGCCCAGTCTGTTAATATTTTCTAGACACAAGGTCTATGCTGCCCAGGCTGGTCTCGAACTCCTGAGCTCAGACGATCCTCTCACCTCGGCCTCCCAAAGTGCTAGGATTACAGGTGTGAGTCAGCTGAACTTTTTAAGCATTTTTAAAATTAAAACAACGTTTTCCCTATGTTTCACGACACTGAGAAGAATCTTAGAGCTTTGAAAGAGCTTGAGAGAGAAGCCCAAGACTTGGGTTCTACAGATCACCTGAGTACTGCAGGTTGGGGCCTCCCAAAGAAAGAGGGCTGCAGAGAGGAGGGGGTGCCGGTCTGTGGAGGGATCCTGAATGGCAGGCCGGAGGTGCCCTGCAGGAAAGGCAGGCTGTGGGCGGATGGGAAGGGACTCCATCAGCATTCCAGAAGATTCTTGGGGGGGCAGATTCGAGGTGGAGACAGGGAGGCTGTGAAGAGCCTAGTGCCCGGCAGAGGGGGCCTGGATTTGCTGGCACGTGCAGAGCCCCGGGGAAGGGGCACGCGGCGCCAGAGCTGGTGCGATTGGAGCCCGGAATTCTGGAAGTCGGGAAGAGCAGGACCGCGATCCGTGTGTCCTCCACGGCCGGGGACGGAGCTAGTGGTCGGCATGCTGCTTGCAAACCCGCCACTCTGTTCCAACACGGGCCGAGCCCGGCAGTGTGACCTCGGCCTGCTCTGTCACGGGCAGTCCCAGCTGCCTCCTGGGACCACAGGGATGCGTTCAAGCTCTCAGACCCGGCCTGGTGCACGGCCGTGACCCCCCGGTCCTGCAGCTGATCTGTCCTTGTGTAACTTCCGCCGGGTGGCGTCTGGCGAGAGGTGGCTCGCACCGCAGCGGCGGCTTCCAGTGGGATACTCTGTGCTTGAAGCTCTGGAAACGGAGGGCGTGAAGTGTTCTCACCTTCTGGAGTTTGTGGTAATGTTTTAAACTTACAAGTCAAGACTTTCTTAAAAGAGCCAGCATTAAAATAATGTCACGCCCACCCAAGTGTCCAAGCCTTCAGTCAGTCATATCTGAAGAATGACTCGGCTACCGTGTCTAGTGGTGTTTCAGCTGCCACTCGCAGGCCTCAGGTGACCTCAGGTAGGGTCCAGCTGTCCTGGGGAAAGGGAAGGGGACCGCCGCCTCTCCTTGAAGCTGTCTCACATACTGGGTTACTTAGTAGGATAAAATTTCATTTGAAGAAAAGGCTCCCCTTTAAAAATTCTCCTGTAATGGACATTTAATACAAGGGACAGATTGATAGGAACAACTGAGTGACAGACCTGCAAAGATTAAAGTAAGTGGCATGTAAAGCATCAGTTCTTTGAATGACCAGACAACTCTATGAAGCAGTTTGTGAACCTAAAGAAGGGAAAAACTTCACACAGAGATGCCGTCCCTTCCTGATGGTGGCGTGGGGTTACTCTGCATTTTTCTAACTGGTCCTGGTGTCCACACCAATATTCCAGCACTCTCTTTAGAGAGTCGGGAGAATGCTAATCCACCCTTGGGCAGGCACGTCACGCTCAGGCCTGTCTGCTTAGGAAGCAAAGCATCTCACCAAAGGACCGCATCTGTAGGCTGTGAGGAGTCGAGGAGCTAATATATATGCACGGAAAGCACTTGGAATAGCACCTGGTACACAGCAAGCACTCACTAAATGCCATCCGACACTTGCTGTTCTTGGTTTCCCAGTGCCGGCGTGCCTGCGCTGAGGGAGACAACAGACCGGCCTTCACACAGCTGGCCTGTTCTCCACGATGTTCAGCTCCACAGCCGTAAGTACCGACTGTCAGGATGGACAGACGTCAGTGGGCATCGCTCAACACCCCCTTCACGGCTGAAGGAGCCACAGGCGAGCCAGGGAGTCACCCTGCAAGGCAGAGGACAGCAGGATGTGGTCGCGGAGGGTGCTGCTCTCGGTGCGGACACTGCCGTCGCGGCCCTGACAGGCCTGTCTGGAGCTTCCCGGGCCGTTCGAATAACACCACGAGTATTTCTGTATCAGAACTGTGATACACACGGGACCTCTGGGGAAGCCAATGGCTTTGCTCTATAACCTGTTATTTATTACGCTGATGGACACCGCTTTGCAGTGGTGGTGTCTGTACGTGTTTTCATGCAGCTAGCCCCTGAAAGCCATTCTTTGGCTAGAGCGGTAACACAGGTCAGTCTGCCACACCGGAAACAGAAAAGCCTGAGCCCTGAATCAACGCACATGGCAGAGGCGCACCAACAGCACGCTGCAGACAGTCAACGTTTTATTTAACATCACAAAACACTTACAAATAGCATGTGGTTGCATTTCTGTTGTGCAACCCAGAACGACGAATTCCATCACACTGAAGCCATCAAGCGGGCTTTCTCCCAGACAGCAGGCTGTGCAGTCAGGCCCTGCGTGCCGGGAGCAGTCGGGCTCTGGGCGGGCCTGGGCAGGGTCGGGGGCCAACGTGCCTGGGCAGCCCAGCCTACTCCGAGTGCCGCTGCCTCCGCTTGTGGTGGTTCTCGATCGCCCTTCTGAGCGCCTCGTCCTGGATGAGGTCTGACCGTCTCATGTCCGTGTGGCTGCAGCCGATTTTAGGGCAACTGAAGGAGAAAGAAAACCGAGTCAGCCACGTGGCCACCGCCTCGAGCGTAAACGCCTTTTGTGTTTGGGTGTTCGGGTGAGGATATTTCATCAACACGTGACTGGAGTCAGAACTGCGGCCTGCTCCTTTGCGGACTCCCCGGGTGCCCACGCCCCAGTCCGTCCGATCGCCGAGGGCTGCCTCTGGCTGCTTCACAGGACACACAGGCAGGAGGCAGGAGAGGGGCAGGGAAGACCCTCTGGGGGCCCCGCAGGTGCTCAGGAGAGAGACGGGGCAGCGTGGTGGGTGAGCGGCCGGGTCACCCTGAGCGGGGAACCCGGGACCCACCGACGAGGACACGGAGCACAGGGGAAGGAAGGGTCGAGCCTGGGTCTGGCTGGCAGGCGGCGCCCCGCATGGTGATGGGCAAAACGGGGCAGGCGGCATGGGGACAGGAGTCCTGGAGGGTCCGCGAGACCTGGGGGAGACGCCGGGCGGGCCGTCCTGGGCCTGAGCTCCCCGCCCACCTGCCCGTCGGCTGCGGGCCCCGGGCGAGTCATCGTACAGCTCTGAGTGCGCTCCTGATTCAAATGATGGCGACTGCACAAACACCACGCACAGCTCCTGAGACGATCACGCGTCCCCTGCGCGCCACTCTCCCCGGCCGTCTCGAGGGTCATGACCTGCGTGTGCCTCGCACATATCTACAAAGACGCGCACCGGCTCACACTGCCCCAGGCCCTTCCACGGGCTCAGCCGTGTGCAACGTTCTGATCGCACAACTGTGAAGTACAGACACGCGCTTCCTGCCACACAGAGCTCCGGCCCAGCGACCTGAGACGGCGCTCCAAAAAGCACAAGACATTCAGGCCAAAAACAACAAATGTGCAATGCGACAAAAGACGCAAAGCAGAAGGGCAGCGAGGTGGTCACGGGGCCCAGGCTGATCCGGTGGGAGCAAGGCCAGAGGCCGGTCACGACCGAGGGCGCAGCCAGCGTCGTGGCTCCCGCCTGTCATCCCAGCACACTGGGAGGATTGCTTGGGCCAGGAGTTCAAGAACAGCCGGAACAACGTAGTGTGACCAAAAAAAAAAGTCAGACGTGGTGCTGCGTGCCTGGTCCTGGCTACTCTGGAGGCTGAGGTGGAGGGTTCATCTGAGCCCAGGAGGTCAAGGTGTGCTGAGCCGTGATCGTGCCACACCGCACTCTGGTCTGAGGGGCAGGGCGAGACAAGAAAGAAAGAAAAGAAAGAAAAGCAAAGAAAGAAAGAGGGAGAAAGTGCTTCTGGGCCCTGATCTCTGGACCAAGGAGTTCTCACATCAGATGGGCATTAGTCAACGGAACAGATGACATGCCTGATGACATTATTTAAAGTGCTGAAGCCTGGCCTTAGAGCCGGGCACATGCATGAAGCCGAATTCTAGAAAGGTGGTGATGTGAAAGAGGGCCACACTGCTTGGGCTCCATGCCGGGTGCAGCTGGAGAAACGTTTTGCACTAGTTTAAAAAGCATACTTTTCCGCCGGGCTCGGTGGCTCAGCCTGTCATCCCGCGCCTTTGGGAGGCTGAGGTGAGTGGATTGCCTGAGCCCGCGGGTTTGAGACCTGCCTGGGCGGC